ATCCTAAATATATAAGGAGAGACCAATTAGACTTAATTTCAATAGTCTCGACATGCAAGAAGATGGAAATCACTTGCAATATCCAGTAAATACTCCCGACATGCAAATGGTGGCGCTTTCTCTTGACAATGACACTTATCTCTACCTACTAAACACCACAGGTCATAATATAAGGAGGATCACCAGAGGAGGGTGTCCTAAAGGAGGAATGATCCGTATAATGAGAATCGATGGAGATGGGATTTTACGGGTATACTCGTACATCTACTGATGACAAATGCAGCCCCAAAGGCATCTGCGGGCTCAATGGGTTCTGTGCAAATAAAGATTGAATGACCAGATGCTTGGGCCTTTGAGGATTTGCGCCTGCGGGCAAGGGAAATCGGGCACCCGGGTGCCAAAGGAACGTCACTGCAGAAAGCTGCCAGAGAATCGACACCGAACTTAAATATACCTCTCAGCCAGTTGCTACGCTGTTTGGGAGGACAACTGGTATTCCGTTCTAACGGTTTCGAGCAAGGAAGCGTGTCAAGAAGCGTGTTTGCAGGATTTCGATTGTGAAGCTGCCATGGACAAAGATCAGACCAGCAGCATGCATAAGCTTCTGCTGAGATATGGGAGGAGAGACCTTAATGACTTGAACATACTTTTCGTCAAGGTAGGTGAGATTGGACTAAAGGAAATGGAAAGAATGGACTTGCAATTGCATCATCTATTGCTTTTGCATTGCTAATGCTCGTGGTGTCTGTAGTCATTGTTTCCTGGAACTGTTTTTTGGGTACATTAAATGCTTCCCATGGCAGGAACTATTACGGCGACAGAAGATTTTGCACCGGAATCTCGTTAGGCAATATGGTTGCTGTCCTGATAGACCGAACGGACTGTTGGTGTATGAGGACATGAGAAATCGCAAAACTACTTTTTACCCCTGTCAAACAGCCAAAACAATGTGCGAAGAAGAAATTTAGGTAAGCTAGATAGGACCAGTATGTGCCCTCAAGCAAGAGCGACCCTCGCCTGTGGTCGGCCACAGGGAAAAAGGAAAAGAAAGGAAAAAGCAAAGAAAGAAAAGAAAAGGAAAGAAAAAAAATATAAAAAAATTATCTACGTCAGTGCTGTTCGTGCTACATAAGATGGCTAGCATCCATGTTAGTGATTTTCGGCCGGAAAATTGGCTGGAAAAGCTAGATTGACAAATCTTCTAAAGATTTAGGATTAAATTTACATAATTGAAATATTTAAAACTGAATTGTCCTATGTATAATATGTCTAGGACTTTGTGGACAATTATCCCCACTACTTTAGTATAGATAATGATAACGTAATAGTGATAATAATGCACACCACTTTAGTATAGTTAAAAGATAACAATGGTGACAATTACAATTCACATTATTTTCATTTATAAGTAAATTTGTGGAATAGTAAAATTTGTGGCAAATTGGAGGAATAAAAAGCGTTGGAGCATGCAATTGCGGAAGTTCTCGCAAGAAGACACTGACTTACTCATGCGGCAGAAGACAAAAGAAGGCTAGCGCCATTCGTTTCGCGAAAAAGGCAACGATTTTTGGAAAATATTTTTCGAAAAGTCATTTTCGAGAAAAATAACAATATTTTCCGGTGCTCGACTGAAACTTCAAAATGAACTGGAAAATATTTTCTATCGTTCGATATGGAAAATTCTCATTGCACTCATTTTAATATTTTAAAAAAAATTGAATTTTTTTATTTTTAATAATTTTTAATATTTCGTTTCGTTTCTTTCTTCTTCTGCTGGTCGTTGGCCATAGTGAGCGGCCGGCAACCGGCCATAGGCAAGGCTTGGCCTCACTCGCCTAAGGCCGGCAAGCTTGAGCCTCGCTGGCCTCAGGCAAGGTCAAGCCTCGCCTCGCCAGATCTGGCAAGGCTCGGCCATGCCTACCGGTCTCAAGTGAGGCTCGAGCCTAGACAAATCCGGCGTTGCTCGACCTCGCTTGTGGTCGATCGCCGGCTGTTGCCGTGGCTAGCAACTGATCGAGGAAGAAGAAAACAAAAAAGAAAGAAATGGGAAAAATTAAAAGTTAGGTTTTTTAAATTAAAAAAATAAAAATAAAAATAAAAATAAAAGTAAAATGTATTATGTGAAAGAAAGTGAGGTGAAATAAGAAGCGGAAAACATTTTCCTCGCTTTTAAAGGTGTTTTTTCCATTGATGGAAAATATTTTCCATGACTAATTTATTTTTCGTAAAACGAATGTCAAAAAATCCGAAAAATATTTTTTTAATAATTATTTTTCATGAAACGAACGAGCTTTGAAAATTGATAATGCTTCCCCGCCCGTGTTGAACGGCTCAACCGTAGAAGAAGCTCTCTCACGTTATTATTATTATTAAAGTCATTGGAGCGACTTGTCGAAAAGTTGGTCCGACTGCTAAAATTGACAGGAGTGAACAACTTGCTGGTCAAAGTCAAAAACGAGAAGGGAAGAAAAAGGGCCACTTGGTACGTAAGTGAAATATCATTTGACGAATGTGAATGCGAGACATATAGACCTGTAACATAAGAAGAAAAAAAAGAAATTGAGCGAGTGTTCGTTTTTCCAGCAATGAGCTTAATTTGCCCACTTGGGTAAAAAAAAATAGACAGTAGCATTTATTATGATCTTACTCGCTCTTAATTTGATGATTAGTGAGGGAGTGACTGGTTAAGACCCTCAAATCAGTAGCATTATCTATGCTAGCGCTGGTTGTGCCACATAAAATGACCAGCATGCATGTCAGCGATTTTCTATCGGAAAATTGGCTGGAAAAGCTAGATTGACAAATCCTCTAAAGATTTAAGATTAAATTTACGTAATTAAAATTTTTAAAACTGAATTATCCTCTGTACAATATGTCTAGGACTTTGTGGACAATTATCCCCACTACTTTAGTATAGATAATGATAACATAATGGTGATAATAATGCACACCACTTTAGTATAGTTAAAAGATAGCAATGGTGACAATTACAATTCACATTATTTTCATTTATAAGTAAATTTGTGGAATAGTAAAATTTGCGGCAAATTGGAGGAATAAAAGGCGTTCGAGCATGCAATTGCGGAAGTTCTCGCAAGAAGACAATGACTTACTCATGTGGAAGAAAACAAAAGAAGGCTAGCGTCATTCGTTTCGCGAAAAATGCAACGTTTTTGGAAAATATTTTCGAAAAGTCATTTTCGAGGAAAATGATAATATTTTCCAGTGATCGACTAAAACTTCAAAATGAACTGGAAAATATTTTTCATCGTTCGATATGGAAAATTCTCATTGCACTCATTTTAATATTTTTTTTTATTTTTTTTAAAAAAATCGAATTTCTATTTTAAATAATTTTTAATATTTCATTTCTTTTCTTTTTTTCTCTTTTATTTCTTTTCATTCTTCTTCTGCTGGTCGTCGGCCATGGTGGCGGCCGGTGACCGGCCACAGGCAAGGCTTGGCCTCACTCGCCCAAGGCCGGCGAGCTCGAGCCTTGATGGCCTCAGGCAAGGCCAATCCTCGCCTCGCCTCTCCTCGCCAGGTCTGGCAAGGCTCGGCCACGCCTTGCCGGTCTCGAGTGAGGCTCGAGCCTAGACAAATCCGGCATTGCTTGGCCTCGCTTGTGGTCGATCGCCGGCTGTTGCCATGGCCAGCGACTGGTCGAGGAAGAAGAAAACAAAATAGAAAGAAATGGAAAAAATTAAAAAATTAAAAGTTAGTTTTTAAAAATAAAAAAAAAATAAAAATAAAATGCGTTATGTGAAAGAAAGTGGGGTGAAATAAGAAGGGGAAAACATTTTCCTCACTTTTAAAGATGTTTTTCTATTAATGAAAAATATTTTTCATAATTAATTTATTTTTCGTAAAACGAATGTCCAAAAATCTGGAAAACGTTTTCTTAATAATTGTTGGAGCTTTAAAAACTGATAGTGCTTCCCCGCCCGTGTTGAACGGCTCAACCGTAGAAGAAGCTCTCTCACGTTGTTATTATTATTATTAAAGTCATTGGAGTGACCTGTCGAAAAGTTGGTCCGGCTGCTAAAATTGACAGGAGTGAACTACTTGCTGGTCAAAGTCAAAAACGAGAAGGGAAGAAAAAGGGCCACGTGCTACGTAAGTGAAATATCATTGACGAATGTGAATGCGAGACATATAGACCTGTAACATAAGAAGAAAAAAAAGAAATTGAGCGAGTGTTCGTTTTTCCAGCAATGAGCTTAATTTGCCCACTTGGGTAAAAAAAAATAGACAGTAGCATTTATTATGATCTTACTCGCTCTTAATTTGATGATTAGTGAGGGAGTGACTGGTTAAGACCCTCAAATCAATAGTGAATTAGGCGGTTTGTATAAGATTTTCTGTGATATTACATAAATTAAGATTATTTGTGACACTCGATTTCTTACATCAAATGAGAAGGAATTTCTTGTGTTATTCGTAAGTATAAGATCCCACTTGGTGTGAGTACACCTTTAGTGCTCCTTTACCTTATACGTGAATACTCCTCTTAAAGTTTAGTACTCTAGATATTGTCAGGTCAGGTCGTTATAGATATTAATCAAGCAGGAGCCCCTTCTAGTAGATTGTGTGGTTCGAGGATAGACTAAACTCAAGCCATCCAACAGGAGTTAGGAGTGATTTTCGGGACGAGAGGGCAGTATTGCTTCTTGAGACTTGGCTCACGTGGAATGTAATGGATCCTTAAACTACTGGATCAAGCTGTTCACCGTTTAAGACGCGAGAATCGCGTGGAGACCCAATAAGATTGGTTCCAATCACCATAACACCCGTAAGATAGTTTATGAAAATAAACAATTCTCTGGGAACATGGTATTTGAACGTCCATGTCTGAGTCAAGATCAACTTCGCTTTCTATAGAAGTTTTTGTTAGTCAAAGTCTTACGCTTTCATTGAAGAAGACTCTTCTGGAGTCAAGGACCCTGTAATTATTATTTCAATTTAGTAGCTGATGTAGCTCTATAAAGCATGGACCAAAGAGCTGATTCTTCACACCACAAAACAAGTTCCGTAGCATTAGAAGTAAACCACGGTTTGCTTTAATGGCTGATTCTGCCCTTCTTTACAGGCACTTCATTCGTATGGTTGCTACGATTCCCTTTCTTCTCTCACTTCCATTCATCTTCACGACTGCAACTGCACAAAGACAGATCAACATAAGCCTCGGTGCTTGTCTCACACCCAACACCATCAACTCCTCCTGGCTCTCACCTTCAGGTGCCTTCGCATTCGGGTTCTATCAGCGAGGCCATGGTTATGCGGTTGGAGTTTTCCTTCCACGCACTCCGCGTAAAACCACGGTCTGGACCGCCAACCGAGACAAGCCTCCGGTCTCAAGCAATTCCACCCTGTGTTTCACCAGCGACGGTACACTCGTCCTGCGGTCGGCGGAAGTGGTGGTCATTTCTAGCGAGACCGCGGTCTCAGCTTCTTTTCTCGACACGGGCAATTTTGTTCTGTATAACTCGAGGCGAGACGTCATATGGCAGACTTTTGATTTGCCGACTGATACCCTCTTGGCAGGCCAGCATTTATCATCAGGCAAGCAGTTGTTCTCGAGCGCTTCCGAGAGCGACCAATCAGCCGGTATCTTTCGCCTCAACATGCAAAAGGATGGAAACCTCGTGCAGTATCCCGTAGATACTCCAGACACGGGCATGTACGCTTATTGGGCGTCTGGCACTGACGGAGTCGGTAACAATGTGACACTATATCTCGATAATGATGGTTATCTCTACCTGTTGAACACAACAGGTGAATATGTAAAGAATATCACCAGAAGTATAGGACCTCCTAAAGAAGGAATATTCTACCTTATGAGAATCGACACAGATGGGATTTTCCGACTGTACTCATACAATGCAACCCAGAATGCTGAATTGTCCGTAATGTGGTCGTCTTCTGAGGACAAATGTAGCCCCAAGGGCTTATGTGGGCTCAATGGGTTTTGTGTCATGAACGATCAAATTGCCGAGTGCAAGTGTCTTCCAGGATTCGGACCTGTGAACCCGGGGAACTGGACATCCGGGTGCGAGAGGAACTTCAGTGCAGAGAGTTGCATGAGAATGGATGCGGCCACGAGGTACACTTTTCAACCGGTCTCTAACACTGTATGGGAGGACGCTGCGTATGCCGATCTTACTTTTTCGACCAACGAAGAATGTCAAAAGGCATGTTTGCAGGATTGCAATTGCGAAGCCGTGATATATGAAGATCAATCCTGCAAAAAGCAGAGGCTTCCTCTGAGATATGGCCGGAGGGACCCCAGCAATGCGAACATACTCTCCATCAAGGTAGGAGAGACTGGATCTAAAGAGAATGGAACGAACGGCTTCATGCCGGAGGGAAAGAAAAGACCTGCTCGGAGAGACATTCTATTTGCAATTGCATCGTCTACTGCTTTCGCATTAGTCACACTGGCAGTGGCGGGATTCATTGTTTACAGGTATCGCGTTCGGCTATATGAAAAACTTCCCAAGGATGGAAATATGATAGAGAATATTTCGCCGAGATCATTTACTTATGAAGAGCTGAAGAGAGTAACCCAAGATTTCGCCGAAGAGATTGGCAAGGGAGCATTTGGAACAGTGTATAAAGGCACGCTGTTGAATAGCCTCGAGGTTGTAGCTGTTAAGAAACTAGAGGTCTCATCGGATGTTGAAAGCGAATTCCAAACCGAGGTGAAAATTATCGGGAGGACTCATCACCGAAGCCTCGTCCAATTACTTGGTTATTGTCTTGAAGGACACAACAGGCTTTTGGTGTACGAGTACATGAGCAACGGGTCGCTCGCGGATCTACTCTTCGTGCCTGAAAAACAACCTTGCTGGGATGAAAAAATGGGAATCGCTCGGAACATAGCCAGAGGTCTCCTCTATCTCCACGAAGAGTGCGAAACCCAGATCATTCACTGCGATATCAAGCCACAGAACATACTAATCGACGAATGTAGGCGAGCGAAAATATCCGACTTCGGGTTATCGAAGCTGCTGAAGCCAGATCAAACCAACACGATGACGAGGATTAGAGGAACAAGGGGTTACGTTGCGCCGGAGTGGCACAAGAATTTGCCAGTGACGGTGAAAGCAGACGTTTACAGCTTTGGCATCGTGTTGCTGGAGATCATCTGCTGCCGAAGAAGTGTGGATTGGAGCCTTCCCGATGACGAAGCTGTTCTCGAAGAATGGGTCTACAGCTGTTTCCAGGCTCACGAGCTAGAGAAACTAGTCGATGATGAATTGATCGACAAAAGAAAGTTGGAGAGAATGGTTAAAGTGGCTCTTTGGTGCATCCTCGAAGAGCCATCGCTCCGTCCTTCGATGAGGAAGGTGCTCCTGATGCTGGAAGGCACGGTGGACATTCCGGTACCTCCTTGTCCTACTTCCTTCCTCAGTGCTATCTAGACTTTCGCCACAATCATCGACAGAAGTGCATTTGATTGTCAATACCATATGTAGAAACTATTCTGAGGGGTTTATTCATGCGAGGCGCAATGCTGGTTTGCCATTTGAATTAAACTAATTTCTCTGTTCTTTCTCTGCTATTGTTTCTTGTGGGAAGTAAAAATAATGCAGAAATTATTTTGACAAATTCGTTGCTTCCCTGTGGAGACAGATATGAACATAAGTTCGCTGTTTCCTTTTAGTGCTATTCTACCGGATACGATTGGAGTGCGAAGAATGCGATGGAAGGAGAGGGTTTACAAATAAAATATTTGACGATTCTACTTTTTTGTTAAAAAAGTTAGACCACGTTTTTTGTGCCGGTAGATTTCTAAAGGAGTTAGTGTTAAAATATGTGGGTAAAAGAAAATTTACCCATCAACCGATTTTCGGTAACTTGGGTAATTTACCGACACTTTTATTAAATTATCAAGTTTTCAAATTACTAATTTTTTTAAATTTTTTTCTAAGTTTTCTTTGTGTTTTTTTGCCAATGCCTTAAACTTACCAATTTTCATTTTAATTTGCCAATTTTTATTTGAGCGACTCATCGACTTTTTCTAATTAAATTGTTATTCAGTTTTGGATTATCAACTCTTCTTTAAGTATCGGCATTTATTTGGTTTTTTTTTAATTTATCATTTTTTGTTATTAATACCAACTTTTATTTGTCCTTCTTACGTATGCCTTGATTTAATCATTTCTCATATGAATTTACAACCAGTTTTTTGTGTGAACTTTATCTGCTTTTCTCCTATTAATTTACTAACTAGTTTTGATTTACTCTCATCTGAGTTGCTTACCAATATTTATTTGATTTATTTTCTAAATCTATCAACTTTTCTATTTAATTTCAGGCTTTAATTTGTCTTATTTACCAACCTGTTAAGTTTATCTTTTTAGAATTACCAATTAACAACTTTCTTCGATTAAGTTACCAACAAGTTTTGCATGACCGAGTTATAAATGATTATTTGATTCTTTAAGTTATCAACTCTCTTGTCCAATTAATTTTGTGTAATTAACTCTTATCTGAGTTAATTATCAACATTTTTTAGATCTTTTAAATTGCCAACTTTTCTTATCTCGGACGAAAAAATCTTTCTTTTTATTTGGAATCCTGGATCCACGACTGGACATTGATTGCTCAATCAAACCTCATCATCTTGACACAATTGAAGAGTTGCCTTGATAAACAAATGTGGTTCCTTTTCCACGGCAGATTCGTGATGAAGTCCAAGTCTTCAAGCGCTAGATTTTTGCGTTGCCGTGCTTAACACACCGGAAGTCTTGAGATGACCTTGGCCAAAATCCTACTTCTTCTATAAATATACTTTCCTAGAGTCAATGTCTTTGTAAGGTAGAGTGAACACAATCTAGCTGGTTAGCTCTATTAAGCACAAACAAAGAGCTGATTCTTCACAACACAAAACAAGTTCAAACGTTAAGACAGGCTCAAGATCTGCACAATCTCACTTTGTTTTGATTGCTGGCACAGTCAATTTGCCTCTATATCTCTTGCTCTCTCAAGACGGCGCAAGCCAAAAAAAAAAGGGATTAAGTGCACTAGAAATTCTAAAACTTTTAAAAAGTACAATCGAGTCTTAAAACTTTCAAAAAGTACAATCGAATCCTAAAACTTTCAAAAAGTGCAATCAAGTCCTAAAACATATCACAAAAATGTAATCGAGTCCTAAAACTTATCACAAAAATGCAATCAAGTTCTAATACTTTCAAAAAACGGGATCAACGGAAGGAATTGATTGGATCAATTTGACAAGTTTTAGGATTTAATTGCACTTTCGTAACAAGTTTTAGGATTGGATTGCACTTTTTGAAAGTTTTATGACTCAATTGCACTTTCGAGATAAGTTTTAAGACTTTCAATATATTTAAAAAAAAAAAACACACACAAGAGGAGAAACGGAGAGAGAACGTGGAAACGTGGCTCCGAAAGGATTCTTGAAGGCTGAGTCATACACGCTCACAACAAAATCTGTTTTGCGCTTATAACAGGAAGGATATTCATTCGGTTCTTCATGGAGAAAACAAAAAGCGAAGCAAATTCTCTCCACGAACTCTCTCTCTCTCTCTCTCTCTAAGAAACTCTCTTGCTCACTCATCCCCTCTCTCTTTCATTAAGTTCTAATATGCCTCTGACAAATTGATTGTATCAATTTGGGGTTTTTCGTGGTATTATTCTATGGATTTGTACCTGGACTTGCCACGTCACCATGCCACATCATCATGTGTCATCCATATCAACAAATTTGACGAAGGTTAACGGAGGATAAAGTTGTCACATGTGTACTAATTTGGGGTTTTTTGTGATAAAAAAATTAATTTGGGGTAAATTTGTCACACATGTACCAGTTTAGGATTTTTTAGAGGTCAAAAAATTAGTTTATGATACATTTGTCACAGATGTACCAATTTTGAATTTTTCATGGTCAAAAAATTAATTTGTAGTAAATTTGTCGCATATGTACTAATTTGGAATTTTTCGTGATATTGACCCTAAAAAAAGAGTTATATCTTTTCAATAAAGCTTTATACATAATGGAAATACTCATTCAATGAACTATATTAAATCAAACATCAATCGTTTATACCATTAATCAATCAAGTGCTCAATATCTAATTATGATCTCATTTAACACCTCGCGACATAGGCAATATGCATACCCCTCAAACCCGTCAATGGGTTTAGAACATAGCAACAATTAGCATTAGACCACTAACATCATCCTACCCATAAAGTCCATCTAGAATCTATCTCAGAAATCAAGTTCACAAACCAAAACATATAACCTTTCACAATTCAAATTTATCAAACAAATTGTTTTTATAAACTAGGTTCATAAATCAGTACTTATAATCTTTCCCAGTTCATTTGACAAAGCTTTTCTCAAACCACTCACAAATAATCAAAATTTAGAGGTATGCAACAAATGTACTCTAAACATTACTTTTCTCTTCAACAAAATATCAAACCATGTAATGCCTATTTCGTGAATCATAACATATCTAATTTTTATAGTTTTCAAGACATGAATTTGTAAATTCAAAAAAGAGGTAAGACTGCTCACCTAGAAAAGTCTAAACCAAACCATGAAAGTTATCTCAAGCCGACGAACTCGAAATCTTATCAATTAAGCAAGAAACGATATTAAAAATCAAGTAACAAGCTACCTCAGTATTATTCAACTAAACTAAGTTTATTCAGTGACAAAGCAATTCCTGCGGGCCAACAAAGAAACTCGCTCATAGTAGACATTTATTATTGTTCGCTAAGTGCAGCTCACGCATGAAACTTTAAAGTTTGTTCCGATCAAACATTAACCCTGAATCATTCCTAAAATATCACATGGCTCCACAATACCCTATACTATCATTTCGATATAATTTCACAGCTTAACAAGCTTTAAATAGAACCCACTTAATTGAAATATGCACATATCTAAATTCACAGCTTGATTTAGAAATTTCCTCCGATTAGATGAACAAAGGACTTTAATCCTCACCTAACGTTGCGAAATGGAGTTGTTTAACTCATTGAGATGCTCGGAACGTGTACGCAAGAACTTTCTTTCTTTTCTCTTCCTTGGCAATGCACTCTGTTTCTCTTCCTTTTCGCCGATCGAATCTGCAATATGAAGAAGAAGAAGAAGAAGGCTTATATATGGGCTGAGGGCTTTGGGCTAAAGTGAGACTTGCAATTGGGCTTATTTTCGTTCTATTCATATAAGCCCATTTGTTACCATTTTCGAGTCGGCGAGCTGGAGAAGATTGTAGATCATGATTTAAAGGACAGAAGACGGTCGGAAAGAATGGTTAAAGGGGGTCTTTGGTGCATCTTGGAAGAGCCATCGCTTAGTCCTTTAATGAAGAGGGTGCTTCTGATGCATGAGGGCACGGTGGGCATTCCGTTACCTCCTTGTCCTTCTTCAATCCTTAGTTCCATCTAGTCTCTCCACAACTGCGCCGATCACCACAAGAAACTGATCCGATAGAGACAAAATGTATTAGATGGTTACTGCCATAAGTAGAAATAAGTTTTCTGTTCTGTTTTATGCTATCCTTTCTTATGATCGTACATGATTAAACGCATCCAATGTGCATGGAAGGAGGGGCAGATAGATTTTGCCTCTTAACACTATGAATTCTACATCATACCAAAAAATTAATGACGTAGTCGATTCATATCTACACATTCAATGCTGTTCGAATTGATTAGCTAACCCAATGATAAAAGTTGAAACTTGATAGAAATTTAAAAATGTAGTAACACTTCCGGACTATGTCCCCATATTGAGTGTTGATCTTATCAACCACATTAAAGGATAGATTAAACAGATGTTGTATGTTTAAAAGAGAATATCGAATATCAAACTCGAGTTAGTGCACTCCTCATTCGCTTTGGTCGTTCACCTTAATTACTGTAATTTTATCAGTTTGCAAACACTCGAAACGAGAACACCATCACTAAGATGAGACTCCACAATCGTATAACCCATCAATTTCTTGAAGTCAACGTCGCTGGATCATCCGAGATTTGAATGGCAAAAGAAGGGAGAGAGTTTCGAAAAGGATGGTCACCATTCGTGGTTTTCTTTCTTCATCCACATCCAGAAAGAAGTGAAGATCCATCGAACAGTATCCATGGAAGCATAAGGGTCGCGCATAGATGGCTGACAAAGATGTCAAAACTTATTTTACTAATAAGCACGTCTTTAAGAACAAACTGTTGCGGAAGCCAAGCGATCGAACAATAAAATTGACAGAACAAGAAAATAAATCGGACACCAAATTTACGTGGTTCGATCGTAGTGACCTACGTCCACGGGGAGAGCAGCACGAAATTCCACTATAGATCAAGCGATACAACAGAGATTACAACCACACTTGAGTCACTCAAACACTCTAAGTGTTTCTTAAATCCTAATTATACCCAATAGCTCACGCAGTATTTAGCCTCATAATTTCTCACAAAATAATCTTTCAATCTCGTAAATGAATTGTACCCAAATCTTACCACAAGATTTAATCGCTACTGACACTTGAATTCTTAGTGTAATTTCTCGAATAAAATCACGAATCCAATGCCAAGCACCCAGCACCTATGGATTACCCACGGCACACGCAGAGGAAACGGCACTTCAAGAGGACTTCTTCGTCAACAACGACGCAACCCCTCTGTGCGGCCAAAAATAGAACAGCCCGTATTTATGCTTACGTTCCACGGTCAATGTAGACTCCATGCAAATATACTTATTTCCTTTTCCGAATCCAATTTTCTCTAACACACGTGGCAAGAAGTCCACAATTTCCTCTTTCATAGTCAAAGTCTTCGTCAAAGTCTTCAAGGCCAACGTTGGACTCAATCCTGCTGATTTCTTCCCGACTTCGATTGATAATCGTTATCTTTTATTTTGCATCCATGTTGACCGAGTCAAAGAAGAAGACTCACTTAGACTTTCCTTTTTCATAGGACGAAGACTCCAACTCACATTTGAAAAGCTAATTTCCGAAACTTACCTTGGATTCTTTTTTTTTTAGTTTCTAAAATTTAGATTTTCATTTCAAACTCAAACTCGAGATATATTTTAATAACCTCCACATTGGCTTAACGTTTGAGCCAAGTCACAATCGCTTTGATAGAATCCGAATTTCGCTACTGCTCTCTCATAGCCCCAATGGGCTCAACCGCCACAGATATCTTTCAAGTCCAAGCCTCGCTTGAACTTCGCCATAGCCGTGGACCTCATCAGAACACCAACTCCACATGCACCTTTAACTGCTCCACAAAGATTTTTCGACACAACCTCCTCAATCGTAGATAAAGCAAAACCATCATTGCATCCATATCTACGAGGAAACCGAATACGCACCTTGTCAATTTCAGCAGTTACAACAATTGTTGGCTGTATAGGCTCCACCTTGCTACAAGCACCATCTATGTCAATTACCTCACTAGTATCTGCTACCTCGGGAGTTTCTAGTTGCAACTCCACCTCAAGCTGAACACCGTTCAGATCCATATGAATATTGCCACAAACACTCCTACCTAGAAGTACTGGAGACTCATCAAATGTAACTTCTCTACTGATAACATGTGAAATTAATTCCAAGCACCACAACTTATAGCCCCGCTCACCTTGTGCATAACCTAGGAACATGCATTTCATTGCCCTGCCATCGAGCTTACCATCATTAACTCGAACATAACATGGGCAACCAAATATTTTAAGAACAAAATAATCTGCAACGTCACCTGATCACACTTCTTCAAGAGTCCGACATCCAATCGCAGTCGATGGGATCTATTCTTCAGGTAGCTCGTCGTACTAAGTGCATCCGACAAGAATCTCCTAGCCATACCAGCACTAGAGAGCATTTTATGGGCCGTCTCTAGTAATGTTCTCCTCATCAACTCTGCAACTTGTTGTGGTTCATTAACACTAGTGCGGTGTTT